TCTGATTTCGGAGTCCCCGGCTGGTAGTGGTTAAGAGGGTTCCAGAACAAAATTGTCATAAGCACTTCCTGCCGGGGACTCCGGGATCGGAGACGTATGGTTTAGATGGGTGGCCGGGGTCTCCAAACTCGGACAAAGGAAACAGGGCCCTGTAATAAAAGAGACAGAGACAGAGAATACAATGGTTGCAAAGCACACCATAGACTGTCACTCCATGTTGAGCAGCCAACGATTACACATAAGTTCTATGCAACCATATTCATGTCTGCACAATCTTTGCTCATTTTACAGCTTTCAATCAACCCTGCGGGGCTAGCTTACATTAATAGTCAATTTGTTCACCAAACCAGTAAAGCTGTTCTGCTTATGAAAAATGTTTGACAGACGAGAAAACATCTGACTTTGTACTTAGAAACAATCCTATTGGGATAGAGCTACCACATTGGAACGGGCCGATAAACGGTCAATCCCTGCACTAATTCCAGTTTAGTTTGCAACTTGAGAGAAATATACGTTGCCAACGAAGGAAAGAAAATCTCATACAGGTCTCTAATACTATGAGAGAAAAACTTAGCGAAAACGTTGAATAAGTGAATCAGATGTCGGCAGGTCAGCTGATCATGATAATGTGTTAAGCACTGCTTGAAAACAGCCAAATTAACGGGCATCTGAAACCACAACAAGCAAAAAATGCTTATAGAATGCTATTTACATGCTAAAAACAGGGGTAGGTCTAGGTCTACATACATGTACATGTAAAGAGGTTGTTTGCAGTGCCACCTATCTTTTCATTGTTTAATATCTAGTGCTGCAGCACAACCTACATCGCCATGGACCGCGTGGACCGACGCGTAGCGTTGTAGAACTACCTAGGAGTGTGGGGTCTACAAGTGTATCGGAATGAATTGAATGCAAGATCGTCAGAATTTAGCCAGATTCAACTTACGCCTACCCTGTAAGCCTACTAGGTCTACTATACAATTCAAAGTTTTAACCAAAGAGTCCAGTTAAATGTCCACTGATAGTCCTCCTCAGCATGACTCACCCCCCAGTGCACCTCATCATCGGCGATAGCAGATGAACATCCGCAGGAAACGGCTGCCCGAACACTGACGGCACTGGTGAGCCCTGAATGCGCTGCTCCCCCGACTGTACATAGCGATTGAGCGGTGACCCATCGGGAAGAGGATGAGCGCTAGTTGTCCAGCAGCAGTAGGCCTACATGTTTTTGCGCCACTGATTGCTTGCAGCTGTAATTTGACGGGACTGTTAAATTGATGGGACCGTACCCATCACGCTTGTCCACTGATACATGTAGTGTGTTGCTCCACTGACCGTTTCCAGCTGCAATTTGATGGGAGCGTACCTGTTGCACTTGTCCGCTGATACGTGTAGGCCCTAGTAATGTTGCTCCACTGACTGCTTGCAGACCTGCAAGTTAACAGGACCTGTTGTGCTTCTCCTCGTAGTGATTGCACCAAAGCCCATGGATGACGGCCATGGACTGGTAGGTCCAAGACAATGCCTGCTGGCATTCTGTGGAGGTAACCAATGGGTCTGTCCACGTCTCCTGTGGTGTATGTTGAAAGGCGGCATCGCAGGGGAATACAGCACACAGAGACATTTCCTCAACTGACTACATAGACTCTGCGTTACTCCTGCCTAGCCTGCGCATTGCATCAGGCAGGATAACCAGGCCCTGCCAGTCTCTGCCTAGTCGGTTTGCAGCAAAATGTGAGGAGAATTGACACCACACAGTCCAGTAGATTGGTAGCTGGTATGCTACGAGAATGCACCAAAAGTATTGTCCAGAAATAAGAACAACATTGCCAGTAAATAGCAGGAAATATGAAGTTTCACTGGTGAGATTTATTTTGGCAAGCAGCAGCATCGGAAGGCTATGCCGAAGTGGCCTTTACATGCCAACAATTCAGCGCGGTCGCTGAATTATAACAATGTCTAACATCTTTCTTGTGTGTTGATTGTTATTTATAGTAAAGCTAGAGCTTGACTTTCCTTGGGCTTTTTTCCAGCCAGCAGGGACCCAGGTTGTCAAGGGCCTGCACTCCAAGTTACATGCTTACAACACCATGGCAACAAACAGCTGATTATTAAATTTAGGGATTGTCAACAAATTATAATGCATTTTATCTTGTAGTGATAAATTAGAACATGACTGAATGATCTATGTGTATTTAAAATTAGAACTCACCAGTTGGGCTGCTTGCTCATGTCTTCCGTACATGCCATAAACTGCAGGCCCAGAAATGCGCAAAAAGAATGTCTAGTATTCAATGAAAACAAAAGTGAGGATGCTACCGTATATTAAGTCAGCTCGTAAAACCCGGGGTGAGACTGTGAGAAAAAAGGTGCTTGGCCGCAAGAGGGCGCTAGTCAAAATTATCTATGCATGGCCGCGTACGTACAGTGCACATGTTCTACAAAAAATACAATACTGATACAGTTTATGTGGAATGAAAGGAATGGAATCAATGTGACCATGTGACTTTAACAAAGATAAGGAACTAGCGTCAGGTGAGAGTAAGGCAAAAACTTGACTAGGTTACACTTGGTACAGACATAAACCAAGAGATGTTATATTTGAAAATTGGAGTGATGTCATGGTGACGTCATTGAGTGGATTTATTTATTTATTTTTTTTTTAGCATTTTTGACATTCTTTTCAATGTATCTGCTGAACGAAAGAAGATATTTTTGAAATTCTTTTTGCAAGACCTTGGGTAGGCCCTGTAGATGTGTTCAATCCTTGGAAAATTTTGCGACGTCACGACGTCATCAAAAATGCAGTTTTCAACTGGTAAATTAGATTGCTACCAAATTCACAGTTTTGGTAGAGAGTCACCCCCTCATCATATTTGATGAGGGGGTGACTCTCTGACTCATATGTCATCCAATAAAAAGTCCCTGTTCAAATGAATAAAGGAATGTGTGGGAGTGAATGAAGGAATGCTGCCACAAGTTGCTACAACTTGTGAGGGTCATGGAAGAAAAGTCCGTGTCTTTTGTCAAGTACTGCTTAATGTGTCTGACAGTCCATCTTGCAGTTAGGCTCTATTACAGAGGGGATATAGTGTCTCAGAGTCTGGTAAGCACAAGTTCTTCAAAAGCTGATAAGCAAACAATACATATTAAAAAAAATGGAATTTGGCTGTCAGAAGCTCAGCATGAGACATCACGATGTTGCATGCATACACGTACCGGTACTAACCAAACGATCTTAGGCCAGTATTATTCCATTGGTGCTTGGTCAGAATTTTAGGTTAGGAAACAAGACTTAGTACTCACCAGTTTTATATCCTTGCTCCATAATCACCCAAGATAATTGAAGGACCAATATGAGGAGAACCTTGGTGTTTCACTTGCGTGATTGGCCAGTTTCCCCACACACAGCAAATGGTTAATTGTGCATAATTGGCCTTTTATGACTATTAGTTTTCTGGACAGTGCGTGCAGAGGAAGTTAATCCCTTCACAATCAACCATTTGAAAGTATCCCTCCCCTAGCAAATAATAGCAAACCGTGGTGAGTCAAGGAATGTCATTTTTATCAAGTACTGCTATTCATGTAGGAGTACCTTGATGATCAACTACATTTTCGACATGTTGACTTCAAGTACGTTTCTGCCCTTGTATGAGTATCGTTTGTTTGAATGCAATTACGAATACAAGTACTCTAAATATAGAACACGTGTAGGACTCATGCAGTACGAGTACTGAGTACAACATCACTGGCAGATGCATGTGTCGGCCATTTAGTGGAGTAAGCTGTTACAGTGATGTCAGACTGAAATTTCGGGGTTCTTTTCCCTCACACTGCAGTGTCCAGGTGATCCACAACGTGGCCAGCTAATTTTTGTTTGGTCTTACACACTTTGAACTGCTTGCAATGCTAGTATATAATGGCATACATCAGATTGATAAACAACAAATGTCCAAAAATTTGGTAAATTTTGGCAATGGAATGTTCTTTATTAACCTCAAGGAGCATGTTGTCAACTTTGTTGTTTTCTTAATTTTTTACGAGTGCTAAGCAGCATTTCCTCTTATGTACTTGTATCTTATATTGGTTTTAGGGAGCTAAGCAGCGATTGGAAAGAGCCAAAAATATAGGTGTGACTCAGTTGCATCAACGTAAAATTCGCCAGTTTGAACCAGAATTCACTGCCTCAGAATTTGCCTGGAAAGCCCAGAAGATCTTCATTGATGCCCATAATGCATTGCAAGAGTAAGTACATGTACTACATATTTTAAAGGGTCCATGATGACCTCCATGGACAAACTGTTAATTAATTGTTTAAAATAGTCACTAGTATGCAAATTCCTTTGCGTCTGATTCAATTCACTAAATCTTCTGATCAACTGTAGTGCGCCCTCATGTCCCATGACGCATAGCGGAATGACCGCCATGTTCATCCTTCTTTTCCTTAGCGTGATTCTAAACTGACGTGTCTTTTTGACATCTTTGAGTTTATCGAGTTTCCATTTTGTTACACACCATTGTGACATTCTGATCAAACCCTAACATATTGTAAAAAATGTACATTCTATATTTCTGAGTTTATGTGTATATTTTCTTGTTTTGGTAGTATATTTTTTCTTTTCGTGTGTGTGCATTTTATGGATCATTGACTCTACGCTGTTACTACCAAGCGATACATAGGGTCAACGGGCGACCCTGGGATTGTTTGGGGTTCCGCGAGGCGGTGTGGTCCCCCTCTTTCCTTGGTATATTTATAGGGTCAACGGGGTGACCCTGGGTTTGTTGGGGTTTGCAAGGAAGTGCGAGTCTGAATTTCGCGACCCCACATTCCCCCTATAGACCGACGGGAGTCGGTCTGCGGAGGATCGAGTGGCATCTTGCTAAACTTGTGATCCCATGGCTAATCCCTGCTGGCAATACCATCTTTGGTTCAGTTCAGGGTTATCCCATGCCACGCTTCAAGGGCCTGAGCTACAGTGCATGCGATATCCATATGCTCAGTTCCCCAACGTAACACGGAAGCATCGCAGTCAATGATAGTGCAGAGTGGCACTGCACTTGGGATTGAGATTCCCCTGCTTGCTGGGCCTGGGCGCAATACTTCTGTGTCCCGGTCCCAAAGCATTTTGAACGGGTGATGCGGGTCGACAACAAGCTACCATGGGCAACACCCAACATTGGCATGGCTCACAAGTCTACGCGCCGGAGTAGCCCCATGCCACCAACACTGGCTACACTGGCCGTAACACCCCTGGTGCCATTGTCTTCAGACACCCTTTCAATTGGGGCACTCGGCCGTGACAAAGACGCTGACACTCCAGGGGACAACACAACACTGCCCCCAGGTGCGCTACCTGCAGAGACAATACTGGGCCTTGCGGGCTCATCACCACCCGCTCCCGTGACAACAGAGCCCACCGGCCTCCTGCACCATTGGGGTATGCGATCTCCGTATGTCACCCTAGCTTCCTGCTGGGCCTTTCTAAGAAGACTGCTTCTACCCCTGCGGTTAACCAGCCCCATCCTGCTGTATCTTTACTGCAGCCTGGGCAGGCCTTCTACGCCCCAACTCACCAGGTGTCAACCACTCTCTCTACAACCAGTTCACCCGTATGCAAGAAATGCAAACATTCTTCGTCTTCTTCTACAGGGTCTAAGGGTTCTTGTAAAAAAAAACTCAGCGGACTGTACGCGGATTTACGCGGAAAGCCGTCCATTGCTAAGGGCCGAGCAGTTTGCCTACTCTGCGGCCGTATTCGTCCATGCGTGGTCAAGTTAATGAGGCTAGCACGGCCAGCCTTCTATTGTCATTATAATGCTTTACTAAATAATTCATGATCAGTCGCAGGCCGTATTTCAAGAGCGCAAAGTCCGCAAACAAGCTGCATCAAGGTAATTCATCGCAGAATGAATGAAAATGACTCGTGAGCGCATTTGACATGCAGTGTTTGCAATGTACGGTGTAAAATATACCACTAAAATATGTGGGAACAGCCTCGAACTGCAAAAAATTAAAAAAAAAAAAAAACAGGATCGTTTCGCAATTTCGACAGGTTTATTCTGTGTGTTTCTTTCTTACATTCCTAGCATTTCGTTGCTAAATTCTGAGTGGTTTTGGTTTTATGGTAAAACTTAGACGTCTTTCACGTTCGTGCTCCCAAACAGTCTGGAAGGTCAGGACACGCCAGCATCATTCTCCGCGGCTCTTCGTACGAACTCGTTTTCGGGACAGAATTTTCTGAAAATGATCCGGCCATTCTGATTGGTTTAACTGTCTTAGTGGCATTTTCTGAATGGTTCTGAAGGTTCCCTTCACCAGTGTTCCATGACGATCCGTTCATACACACCAAAGTTACATTTTGAAAAGTACAACATAGTTTTTTGAGACTAAAATGCCTGTTCTGTGTCAGAGAACAAGGTACTTGCAAATCTTTGATCTTTCATTGTTATTGGCTTTTGTGCATTTTGCAAAAAAGTCATTCGTTTTGTTCTGTTTTTTTTGCTTCTTCTTCTTCTTGTGCTCAAAAGCCTGTTTTTGTACATGTTTTTGTTGCTGTTTTTGCAACTTTTGATCTTCATCAAACTTATACCAATGAAGAACCCCTATGCATAGATAGTCCCAGAAACATGAAGTCATGATGATGTCATCAGGCGATTAATTATTGATTTTTAACTATTTATTTTAGCCCATTGACTTTGTACTCGTTTTCGAGGCACAATTTGGGCTACTTTATATTGCTTTTTGAATATTTTATTTTTCTCAATATGTTTTGTACACATTTTTTTACTTAATACAAGTGAAGGAGTAGTCCTTTACTTTGGAACGAACGAAAGAGAAATCTGGTACTTTATGCTCTGTTATTTGCTTTGAAATATGCCTAAGAGTCCGAATATCAAGTAATAGTTCGTAAAAATTGTACAGATTAAGTGCAAATCACGTGACATGAACTTAAAGGAGCAGCGTTTGTGAAGACGAGTTTATGGCCCATTGACTTTGTACACGTTTTGGAGACACTATTTTGGTAAGTTAGCAATATTAAATTGTCATCAAAGTTACATGAAGCCTTCGCCATAAAGCGAATATAATGCGTAAATATTTACGTCATTATAACGTTATCAAATGATTTATTATTAAATTTTGAATATTAAAATATTCCATTGAATTCAATGGGTAATGGTATTCTTAAAAATCATCCACTGATGTAGTCACCGTCAACATCGTATTTTGTCCAATACCAATATATCATTCTTTTCAACAGACAATATTGAAATGTTATTTTTGCCTGGATTCTACTCTTTCCTTGATTTAAAAAGGGGCGTGACACCTGATCTGTGTGGGGACATATTAAGTCCTGAACCCCAAACAGCACGGGTGATGAAGTCATTGACAACACCAGACCCTTAATCCCTTCATACCAGGATGCGTTAAAACACGCCGTAAAAATTGAGATCCTCAGCCCGCTTTTCAGCTATTATTCTCGGCCCATGCTCAAGCGAACATGGTGAAAGAAGGCAGGCCCTGGCTCTTGTGTATATGGTAATTGGTCCTTGTGTGTAGCCCAGAAATGAAAAGACTGAATTTGCATCATAATTACCAGCTTCACAATAGTCCCCACTTTGAAAAGAGGCAACGGGAATGTGGAAGCTTGAGTAGAGCCGCAAGCCACCGAACAATCAGCCTTTTCACCGTGTAATTCAAAGCGTGCAGAGCATGCTGAGCCACAAACCGAGAATTTGCAGTTTGGCAGGTGGCCTTCATGGTCAAGTGAGGCTGGAATTCTTGGAGTAGGCTTTCGGAAAGAAATTTCCGCCGAGAAGGGGTTAACTTGCAGATCCCACATGGCGTCATTTGCCGATGAATGTGAGAGTGGTTTCCGAGTGTATATCTTACAGTACTACTTGGTAGTCACAGTTATCACTAGTTAAATTCATTTTTGCACCAAAATGTTCAGGATAGTGCAGCAGATGTCATCTATAGTGGTCCTGCAGTCTCTTTCTTAAATTTTGTACACAGAAAATCTGAAATGTGCAATTAATTATTGTTTTTTTGGATATTATTAAAGAAATTTTTTTAGAGTGGCAATGCATATTTATGATTATGCAAATAAGGGGGAGTTTGCAGACGGATGTCAACGGAGAATACACTTTTTCAGGCCCTATATCTCCTGAAGTACATATCCGATTGGGTTCAAATCTTGCAAATATCTTGAAAAGGAGGTGCTGTAGATGAATATTAACATTATGTGATGATGATATCATCAGGAGACAAGTCACGTGACATTAAAGGTGCACTCTTAAACGCCCTGCATCTCCTGAAGTAAATATCCGATCGGGTTCAAATCTTTCAGGTATCTTTCAAAGGAAGTGCTTTAGAGGAATGTTGACCTCGTGTGATGATGACATCAGGAGACAAGTCACAAGATATTAAAGGTGCATTCTTTAAAGCCCTATATCTCCTGAAGTACATGTTCTATCAGGTTGAAACTTTGCAGATAACTTGAAAAAGAGGTGTTGTATAAATGTATGAAAAATGATTTGATGTGATGATGTTGTAGTTGTTCAAATGTACAAAAGAATGCGAAAAAGCCCTCTGTTCTGTTGGCAAACACACAGATAAGCTCTTGTTTTCATTTGGGTTGCAAAGTTTTATGATGTGAAACGGCCCATGGAAATCGAAATGAAAAGGACAAGTTTTGGTGATTCGCTGAGTATGGTCGCACGCAGCACATGGAGATGCCTCATGGCATGCATGGTGCTATCTTGTATGTGCGAGTCTGCGTTCATGTACATGTACATACAGGGTATGCATAGCAGTTAGCACCGTATACACGGCATGCCTGGCTTTCACGAGTCGTGCAGCCACGATGCTGCCTGCTGATACCAGAATTTCGTCCTTTTATAAGTCCCATTCAGTGAGTTGATAATGTGAGGATTCTAAAGAGGGAAATCTGATGATGGTGAAATTGAAAGACGGAAATCTGGGGAAGTTATCAACGTATCATGTTAATGCCAGAGTTTCACCCCAAAATTTGAAGTTATCCCCATATCATCGTTCTAATTTGGTGGTGTAAACCCTTGCTCAAAGAGCTACATGTACTTGTGCATGTGTACATGTAGATTTCTATTCTTCAAAATAAGAAAACATTTTGCCAAATTTGTTTAATTTGCTGCAGAAATGCCAGAAATGCACTAGACAAAGTGAAAAAAAAAACAACACCATGAAGAAAGATCAGAGCAGAGGAAAA